ACACACATTTAAAATTAATTAGTTAATCTTTATGGACGCACAATCCTTATATTGTGAATTAGAACAATAGACTAGTTATTAAGGTTAATTGATTTTTTTTAAAATGATTTATTAGTTACTATTCAGATTGATTGGAAGATAAATTAGTTTTTATACAAGACGTATTAGTTATTATTTTAAATCCTCTCAATACTTTTTTTTTTGAAGTAATACTTGTAACTTATTGATCTCTATTTAACGAGAACAATAAAAAAATTTATTATTTTTAAAAACTTTTAAATTTGTAAACTAGTATTTTATTGTGTTTTTTTAATTGATTTGTGTTATTTTAATTACTATTTATTTTATTTAATATAATAATTTTTTTAATTTTATTATCTTTTAATTTTTTATCAGTTTGATGCTTATTCTTTTAATTATTATTTATTTTAATTGAGTTTTTAGGATTCAACCCTCTATCAATTTGTTTTTCTTTTAAAATTTAAAATTATTCTTTAAATTGTAATTTATTATATTTTGATTTCTTTTATTAATTGAATTTATTTTTTAATTTTATCCATCAATATTTAATTTTATTTTATTTTTATATTAAATTTAGTTTTTATTTTTTTATTGTTATCTGTTCCATTTTTATCCTTTTTAATTAAAATTTTTATTTTTAATTTTATCTCTTAATATTCTGTTGATTAAGAATTTAACATCGTAATTTTTTTGTATTTTTTTATGGAAGAATCTCAACCTCAGAACCCGAGTCATAAGTTTAAAAAGTTAGTTTAGATTAACTCAAATTTTTTTAGGTGTTTTTTTTATAATTTTTTTATTCTATTTTTCAATATTAAATTTATTAATTTTATTATTATTTTTAATTTTTTTATAAAAAATTTTTAACCTCATGTAATAATAATAAATAACAACAACAATAATAATGATGAATGTTAAAATAATAATAATAAAAATAAAAATACTACTACTATTAATAATAATAACAATATTAGCAATAATTATAATAATGATGATGATAATAATAATAATAATATTTATTAATAATAGTTGTGATAATAATTTTTATTTTTATTTTTTAATTATTTATTTGATTTTTTTAATTTATTCTTTAATATTTAATTTTTTAGAAATTTAAATTTATAATTTGATGGTTTAAATTCAAGAGTTTAAAAAAAAACTAATAGTTAAAATATTTAAATAGAAGAATATGTTCACAGCAATTAATTAAATTAAATTCCTCATCAAGACGTGCAGATCAGTAGGAAGCTTATGTTCACAGCAACAAAAATCATAAATGGAGTGTTCTTCCATACCGCTGAATCCACCTTTTTATGGATTGGTGATCGAAACAAAGAAAAGGAAGGCTGCTTTTCATTACTCTGTAATCATAGAAGAATCGACTGCGTGACTAACTGAAGGATGATCTCTCCTTCTCTTCTTGCATTACTCTCTCTGTCTATTTTCTTCTCTCTCCCCGTCTCACTGTCTTCCTGCAGAGCTATCAATGCTGCTGCCGTGATCACCACTGCGGGATTGCTGCTATTGTGATCTTCATGTATCTTTCCTTTTTGCAGCTGAGGATTTCTCGCTTGAATTTCCTGCTTCCAGTTTGATGTCCTTGATAGCGGTTGTTCATCAACTACTAAGATAGCTTTTTATCTATTGATTTTGGATCTTTGAAAGGACAACCTCCATTCCTCGAGAAAAGTCATAAAATGGAGGGAAATCTTTTACTATCTTTTCTCTTTAAATTTTTTAATTATACATTTTATTATTATTATTCCTTCTTCTGTTTCTACTCTTCCCTACTAAAATCTACTAGTTTATAGTCATCGCGTAATGTCTTCCTCCATTTTTCCATTCCATGCACCTCTCCTCTCTTACTTTCTTCTCCAATGAAACCCCTTACTTCACTCCTGCTCTCCCTCGTCTTTCTCTCCTCCCAAACAGTCCTTTCTTTCAAACGAGATGAGTTCCGCAACTGCAACCAAACTCCCTTCTGCAAACGCTCCCGCTCCCGCTCCCCCGGCGGGTGCACTTTAACCCCTCACAACATCGCCATCTCCAACGGCGACCTCACCGCCACTCTCCTCTCTAAACATGAAGATCAAGTCCGACCCTTGATCCTCTCCCTCTCGGTCTACCATGACGGAATCCTCCGTCTGAAAATCGACGAAGATTATGACCACTCCGACCCACCCGCTTCTAAGACACGGTTTCAGGTCCCTGACGTCATCATCCCAGAGTTCGAGTCTAACAAACTCTGGCTCCAACGACTTTCAACGGAAACTCTTAACGATGAATCCTCTCCGTCAACGGTTGTTTACTTATCGGAAGGTTACGACGCTGTTCTCCGTCACGATCCTTTCGAGATTTACGTTCGCGATAAGCAATCGGGTAACCAGAAGTTAATTTCGTTGAATTCTCATCAACTATTCGATTTCGAGCAATTAAGAGTGAAAAAAGAAGGAGAAGAAGATAGTGAGACTTGGGAAGAGAGATTTAGGGGTCATACCGACACGAGGCCGTATGGTCCGCAGTCGGTTAGCTTCGACGTGTCGTTTTATAATGCTGAATTTGTTTCTGGGATTCCGGAACGCGCCACGAGTTTGGCATTGAAGCCGACTAGAGGGCCAGGAGTGGAGAAGGGTTTGGAGCCGTATAGGTTGTTTAATTTGGATGTGTTTGATTATTTGAGTGAGTCTCCATTTGGATTGTATGGGTCGATTCCTCTGATGATTTCGCATGGTAAAGAAGGGAGGAGTGCGGGGTTCTTTTGGTTGAATGCTGCGGAAATGCAGATTGATGTGATGGGAGATGGGTGGGATGCGGAGTCTGGGATTGAGTGGATGAAGCAGAAGAGGATTGACACGTTTTGGATGAGTGAGGCGGGGATTGTTGATGCGTTTTTCTTTGTTGGTCCGGGTCCGAAAGATATCGTGAGGCAGTATACGAGTGTGAGGGGGAGAGCTTAGATGCCTCAGATGTTTTCGATTGCATATCATCAATCTAGGTGGAATTATAGAGATGAAGAGGATGTGGAGAACGTGGATGCCGAGTTTGATGAACATGATATTCCGTATGATGTTTTGTGGCTTGATATTGACCATACGGATGGTAGAAGGTATTTTACGTGGGATTCAGTGTTGTTTCCACACCCGGAGGAGATGCAAAAGAAGTTGGCGGCGAAGGGGAGGCATATGGTGACAATCGTGGATCCTCATGTTAAGAGGGATAATTCGTTTAGGTTGCATAAGGAGGCTACCTAGAAAGGGTATTATGTGAAGGATGCTAGTGGGAAGGATTTTGATGGGTGGTGCTGGCCTGGTTCGTCATCTTACTTGGATA